GCTCTTCCGTGTCAACACGCGCTCAGTTCTGCAGGAGGATCCGAACCACAGAGAGGTGTGTGGGTGTCAGTTTAATCTCCTGTCCGGTGCGTGTTCGCTTTACTTTGTCAGTTTAGATGATGTTTAACCTCAGTCCGACGTGCCGAGTCGTAACACAGACAGGACCGAAGTTCGCTTCTTTTTGCTTGATCCGTCAGCTCAAATGGACGCCTGTGATGAAACAAATTCATAAATCTTCAATACACTCATAATTATGAGCTGCAAAGTCACAAGTCCGAGTTTTAACCTCACGAAATTCATTCAACCTTTTCTTCAACAGGTTGACTCATTGAGCCTCCAGGACTCATTTACAAGAGAGACCTGTTTAAAACAGCTCCTACTTTGAACAGGTGAGGGGTGACCTGTGCTCCAAATGAAAGGAGTTCAAAAAAGGGTTTGATCAGAGAAAGATGAATTCATTGTTTCTGCCTCACTTAGATCAGACCCACTGAAAGTCATTTATAAATGTTGGCCAAAATAATCTCAGTCTAACCTGCTCTAAGATGCTGCTTACCTTCAGACTGAACAACATCCAACTTATTATTATTATCAATATTATTATTATCCATCCTTTACTCACCTTTCCTTAGACTGGAGTCCATCATAGGGACACATGGAGACAAACGAGACAACCATTCCCGGCTCTCTCACACCTAGGGACGAGTTAGAGTTACCTGTCTGTGGGAGGACACTGGAGTATCTGGAGACCGTGCACACATGCAGAGAGAACGTGTAAACTCAGCTTTGAAAGAGCCCAGCGGGGCTGTTGTTTTTCTGTCTGAGTTTTTAATTTTTTTTTATCTTTATTAAAGCAAATGACAAGTATACAACAAACAAAAGGCTGGAGTATACAGACAAACACAACACTTACATGAACAAACATCCAGGGGTGTGTTTTAAACAAATATTTGCAAAGATTTACATAGAAATTGTCCTAAGGGCCTTTTTGTTGAGAGTCTCTTATTAACGTTACATATAATTCCACATCCTTAATAAAATGAAGAAAATATGGCGTTTTATTAGTAAATTTACATTTATGAATGAAAAATTTGGCCAAAAGAATGAGCAAGTTTATTATAAAAAAACATTTAGTATCCTTTCTGGGGAACCTAGGGTCGTTTTCACACCAGATAGTCCGGTAGACTCGGTTCGGTTCGGGACCAATATTCATGAGCTTTTGTTACATTTGAGCTGGTGCGTTTGCATTCACACTGCACTGTGCAGTCGAGGCAACCTGTTGAAGCAACCTGTTGAAGCAACCTGTTGAACCAACCTGTTCCCCCGCTCGCCTGTGGGGGCGCTGCACCAAGAACTACTGAAAGAAACAACACAAAAACCTCTGAAGACACGTCTTCTTCTTCTTCTGGAAATAAAAATAAAAACAAATTGGCATCAAGTTTTAGCAGTTTTAGGAGTTATGTTTTGTCATTTTTCAAAAATGGACTTAGCATGAGCAGAAGATGAGACAGAAGACCATGGAGAATGTTGTTTTTCACACAAGGCAGCTGACGGCTCCATATGAGGTCAGAGAAATGCGTGTTTGTTTACCCTGCGGAGCGGGGCCCGGTCTGTTTACATTCACACTGCACTCGAACCGCGCTGGAGTTCTCTTCTAGCGGACCGAGACCCAGGTTTTAGCCCGGGCCAGAGTTCGCCTTTTTGTTCCGTGACAGAGTTCGATGGCGCGTTCACACCTCCCCAAACGAACCGGACTTTCTAGGAAAACGAGCTAGAGTTCGATTAAAGCGGACTAAACAGGGCTAGTGTGAATGCACCCTAGGAAAACAAATTAAACATTTTCCCAACGTAAGGAAAAATTCCTTACAATATGGTTATTATTAATAAACCTGCTCAACTCCTTCCAAAACCTGCGTGTGAAAGGGCAGTGCCAAAACAGATGTGTCGCAGCGCGGTTGTGAACCAGGGATCTTGTTGCTGTGAGGTGTCGGCTCTAACCACTGTTGTGCCACGTCTGAAGCAGGGATGAGAACGACTTTTCTGGGAGATAATTTAGCGCCGCTCTAATTCGGCTCTTAAACTGCCCTTTAGTCAGGCCTTGTCCACATTACTCAAGGTTTTTTTACACACATTCTTTCCTCAGTACACCGGTTCAGATTAAATGATTTAACCTCTTTTGTTGTTATCTACCTGGATGACTGACCCTACAAACCTTTTTCCTCAGCACAGTTTCTTACCCTTTATACTTGGTCTGTTCAGCTGGTGGCCCGAGCTCAGTTCAGCCCACCATTGGGTTCATTTTCAAATTAAACTAGATTTTAAACCATAAAACAAACTTACTTAATGACAATAACTGCTGGATGTCCGGTCCCTGAGCTATTGGCTTCCAGTAACTGTGGCCCCATGAACAATTTAGTTGGATGGCCCTGCTCTATACAATCTAACAAGACACTGCAGTTGCACCACTAGGTGCATTATCCAATCAAAAACAATTGTAGCTTTTGTTATTGTTGTTTTTGTTTTTGCTTAATTACCATTTACCATCTACCACTCGTAGACTGAGACCAACGAGGTGCTCCACAGAACACCACAGGAAGTCCTTCCTCCCTGTGGCCATCAAACTTTTCAACTCCTCCCCCTTTCTGCAATAAAATGAATCCTGCACCACAATAAACTCTTTAATGTTTCTGTCTGCACCTGACCTGTTTTATACCTTAATTGCTGGTGTTTTTATATTCTTTGTTTTTTTATATCTTGTGTGATTCTTTGTGTATGTTCCTTTGTACCGAAACTCTGGCACAACAATTTCCTGCAGGATCAATAACGTTCTATCTTATCTTGTTTTGTCTTGTCTTGTCTTGTTTTGTCTTGTCTTGTCTTGTCTTGTCTTGTCTTGTCTTGTTTTGTCTTGTCTTGTCTTGTCTTGTCTTGTTTTATCTTGTCTTGTCTTATCTTGTTTTGCCTTGTCTTGTTTTTTCTTGTCTTGTCTTGTTTTATCTTGTCTTGTTTTGTCTTGTCTTATC